TGTAGAGTAGGACAGGGGTGAGTCGGTCCACCTTAGACATGTATTAGAAGACCACGCGGTATATTTGTGGGAAGGGCGCTTGGGAATGACATTAAAAACAAACAATGTATTCATATTAGTATGCCCTATGTATAGATATAAGAAATAGACACATATAATGGAGGTGTGGGGATGGAAATCCAAAAGGCTACATATAATTGGAGGGTGGTAGGTCGATCGTTGCTCATCCCTCGTCTTCTTTCCCATGAAGTGAAAATAGAAAAGTTTTCATGTTATTCATAGAGGGGTCACGGAATAATATTGGGTTCGAATCCGGGTTTAGATTAAGAATCAATAAGAATTAGAATTATAATAGAGAGCATAGTTAAAAGGATAGTCAAATTAGTGCCTCCACTCTAATGGGGTTGGTCTGTTATTTTTATATTTTCTTTTTCTCTCAATCTTTAATTAAAAAAAGTCAACTCCAAAGACCATTGTAACATAAGACGACTTGTTAATCTTTGTTATCAATCTATTATCATCTTCTTATCCAAATTAACATACTAATTTTTGCTACACTGCCTTATGAATAAAATTTACTTGTTTATAAATATTCAAACCGCATGTTATTCACATTTCCGAATGATCAACAAATACAATCCACTGATTCACAACTCATTTATATCTATTTATAATTCAACCTATTTATAAATGCTATTAGTCTTTGAATAGCTCAACTAGTAGAATTACAAAGTTAGGTGCAAGTTTGCTTTCAAAATACAAAATATGTTGCATAAGAATCTTTTACATGTCTGATACAATTAGTTAAAATGAATTTAACTCAGACAACTCATAATGCTTTTATATCTGACTTCTTCAACTCTACTCAACTTATACGACAATTGTCGTCTCACATGACGATTCAATAGCAACAATGCAACACCATGTCTGGCTTTCCTCCAACCAAACACATGACATTGTTGCTTATGAGCTGAAGATTATAAATGTAGTTTGAAATTCATTTTAACTCTGTGAAAAAGATGACCCCTTCTTGTCCCTGCCTGCTCCTTTCATTTGTAATTGTTTATTAAAGTTGTCTATTTTACCGTGTCTAATTCTGTACTAGACATGCTCGTAAACTGTTTATCTATCAATCATACAATTTGTGCCTCTGTGCCATATAGTTCAATTAAACAATACAAATTATTGCAGCTCCTCGTTGGGACATCCAACATATATAAAAGAGTCTAAGAAGTGTTGGACAGGTATCGCAACTATGTGTCGCCCTCCACCATTTTCTTTTTTTACCCTCATTTTTTATCAGATGAAAACGATGTATTGTATTGGGCCCATTGAAGGGAAGGGTGAGGCAGTCTCTTTTTTAGTACCCATTTGTCCTCTTTGTTCATTCTCTCACCCAACCAGCCACTCATACACTCCTCTTTTTCTTTTTCTTGTTCTTCTTTCTAGAAAATTGAAATCTCGTCTTAACTAGGTAAATTTGAATCTGGATAAATTCAAATCGGTAAATTCAAATCTGCAGAAGGCGGGTAAATTCAAATCTGCAAACACACTATTCGTTCTCGTCGGGGTGGCACCGCCTACCAGTGATTCAGCCGACTATACTCGCTGTGATTGATCAGTTACTCCTATGTAAGTCACGTGATTACTTTCTCTCTATTTTATCTAAATCAAATGAGGAAATATAATCAAATTTGAAAAATATAATTCAGTTGGGTTTGAATATTTAGCATTTCAAGGGTAGAAGAACTGAAATTTTTGGATTTATGAGTAACGTTTTGATCTTAAATGTAGAGAATGTTTCGAATCTTTTGATTTTTAGAGGAATGTCGTACATGAATTGCAAGTCTAGATGATTAGGGTAAATTTGTTTGTGCTTCTATCTATATTAAAAATAAAATTTATTTATAAGTATATCTAACTTGAATTTCAACATATTTTCATCATAATAAATATAAATACAAACAATAAAAAAATGAAAATTTCAAGGCACGGCCTCACGGAGAGCTTACTCCGTGGGGGCGGAGAAGTCTCCGTGCTACTTTTAATAACTACACAATCTGAATATTACATATGTACTTGCTTATAAGTAGTGTGTTCCAAGAAATATGTAGTTAAAAAGTAGATAAATTTTGTGGATCTAAAAAATATGCGGCTAAATATGATATATGACCAGTTTATTAAAAAACTTCGCCAAACATGCTTTGTCTCCTCGGCTTAGGTTTTTAACATGTTGGATAAGCTTGGTTTCTCTATATGTACATGGTCATTACAATATTATAATTTTGCTTCAAATTGCTAACTTTGCTTCAAATTGCTGCTGTATTTGTGGTGAGTTTTTGGCAAAATGATACCAAATGCTAAATTTTGGGTTTTTTTTTTTTTCCAAGTCAATGCTGTGGAATACCGGCAGACAGAACGCTTCGACTAAAATATACTTATGTTATAGTGGGAAGTTTTTAGACTGCTATCCATATCAAACTTTACCCTCTTTTTTTGAAAATAAAGTATGGAGACCTTTGTACAGAGTTTGTAAACTGTACTTCTAAATCCCAGAAGAAAACTGTATAACGTATGATGTCCTAATGTCACAACAATTACCAACATTTGCTTAGACATGAATGATGGACTAGCTGAAATTTGACATCTTGACCTTTTATAACTCTCTTGCTTATTAAGTTGTGTCTAATTGCCCTTTCGTATACCTTTAGTTGAAGGAGGTCTGACCTCAATGCTTTCAAATTCAAGGTTTAGTTCATGTAAGAATGAACATAATTTTAGATACAACTGAGTACAATATTCACCAATAATCCTTACAAGAGCAATATCCTCCTTTTCGAACTAGCTCTAAGCAAAGCCCCCAAAAAATTAAGCAGCTAGGGTATAGGCATTTCTTGATATACTCCATGGCTTCCTCCAATAAACTTGGCTCGAGCCAAGAATATCAACCATGCAAGTATAGTGCTAGCATCTCGATGCAAAAAATATCAACCCATCAATTGATTCAAACACTAAAATTAAAAAGAAACGTAATCCCCTGTTCCTTGCAGGCCCACATGACCAATTTCATTTTGTGGAAATTACAGATTCTAAAAAATTAAAAATCCTCATTTCATAAATAAGATGCCATGTTTAATATTTCACAAATTAGAAAATTTTTTAATTAATTAATATATTTAAAAATTTATCAAATAAACAATTTCAAACCTAATTACCTCCTCTCTCTTTGCCCAATCTCAATTCACTTTCTCTCTCTCAATTCCCCCCCCCCCCTCTTTTTCCAAAAACT